AGGGAGCCAAGGGGAAAGGAACACACACACACACACACACACACACAAGAGGGCAACAGAGGACAACACAAAAACATGAGAACTAACACAAATCTAGAAATTACAACAAAAAAGGAATTAAACCAATAAAACTAGGAAACATGGAGCAAAGTAAATCACAATAGAAACAAGACCATAACAGCCATTTGTTGCATCCACATCCTCCTAACCCTGCAAATGCACTCTAATGTGCTGTTTAAAATTTTTTTTGCATTTTCTCTTGAGTTTGTCAATAATAGCTATCAATGGTATTTCATGGGGTCTAAAAGCCTTTGCTTTGTAACAACCATTGGTTTTGTAACCTTATTTTAGACAGAGAGGTCATTAAAAAAATTCTAAGCTGCTCTTTGATGTTTTTAGATTGGGGCATGATGTGCAGCTTTCTTTAAGGCTGATTACATTTGATTGCTTGATTGTATAGAAATCATGCCAGGATTGTAAATTGAAGCAGGCAAGCAGCAAGCATGTAAGGTACAACTTTACAATAAGACTCCTCTTATAGATGACTACAAAATAGTTTGCAAATATGCCATCAATCTGTAAATGCTTTATAAACCATTCATGGCAGTTTATTAAACATTAATCAAGGGTAAGCAACAAACAAAACTTACCAGTTTCTTGCCAAAATGGAGCCTCTGTTTAACTATATATTTCATTTAGCATTGCTTATATTCAGACTGAATTACTACCTTAGAAGCACTATTAGCATTAGCAAAACATTTTTTTTTTTACATGCAATATCCATAAAATATGCTGAATGCAATAACGTATAAATGAGTTATAGTGTTTAAAAATGATTAACAACATATCTATAAACATCTATAAGGGAAAACCGTTTGAAAATTGCTACTACATTTGGTTAATCCAAGTTACTTGAATAAACAGAGGAAATCTTTTCTAATACAATAAAAAAATAAAGATGTGGTCCAAACATCAAGGATACATTTTGGAGAAATGATATCTACAACCAATACCTGTGTCAGATTATAGACTCTTCAGTCATTAAAGTTCTAAAAGTGGTTGAGGTTACCAGTGTGGACAAAGTTGTTGTTTAAAACTATATCTGTCAGCGAACGTCTCTAACTCCAAGGCAGGCCCCAAAAAACATCATGTAATGTGGAGAAATAAGAGCTCAGAGGCGAGAGTTTGATGGTAAACTCTAAGTTCCATGTCAGAGGAAACATGATTAAATGGATTAATCAGCTGTTTCACCTTTTGGCTGAGATTAGTAGGATTACTATGTGAGAATTATTGGCTTATTTATAATGTTTTGTTTGATGTGGTGTTCCTTGAGATCTATTTTTCAAAGACTCAAAGTAAACCATGATTTTGCACTAAATCAATTATTGGGAAAGTTTGTGATTTGCATTTGTTTTTCATCCTTTCTCTCTAAAAAGTCTGGATCGGACTTGAGTGCACGGAAAAACTTTTAAACGAGGGCAAATGGAAGA